TGGGGAGATGACGGGGCTGCAAGAGGGATGATAGGCAGGGAGCTTAGGGAGGAAGTGATAAGTCTGTACTCAGCCAGTGGCAATGAAGATGGGGAAGATACAGGTAGGAGTTAGTTAATAGGACTTGGCCATTAATGGGAAGTGAAGAGGGATAAAGAAGAGGGGAGGAAGAGCCCAGGGTGACCCCCAGATTCCTGATCTGGGCCCCTGAGAGTATTAAGGAGCCATTCACTGTCATGCTGAGCACTGGGAGAGAAACGGGTGTGTGGAAAATACAAGCTCAGTTCTAGGAATGGTGAATTTGTGCTGCTTGCGGAATAGCCAAGGGCAGCTACTTTCTACGGTCTGGGGCTCAGAGAGAGGTCTGGGCAAGTGACAGATCTGGAAGTTGTCAGCATAGGGAGTCCTTAAAGCCATGGGAGTGACTGAGATCATCTGGGGAAAGTTGAAAAGGGAAGGGAAGGGTCCCAAAGCAAGTGATAACCACTCATGGTCCCTGCTGTCAAGGTGCCCTCCCTCCTGCAGGAGGGGTTTCGAACCCTGAGAAGCTCCGTGATACAAGGCAGACCAAGTTCTGTATTTTAATGAGGTACGGCCAGAGAGTTCTGGGCTCTGGCGTGCGGAATGGGCAGGGCTAACTTGCTGGGACCAAGCCTCCTGTGGGTTAATTCAACTGAGGGGAAAAGGGAGACCTGAGCTGCAGTTGTGAGCTCTAACCACAAGGTGGCACCTTGGCATCTCCTTGTGCCACATTTCTCCACTTGCAAACACTCAGCCAGGCCCAGAGCAGGACGATGTCAAAGGCTGAGAGGACGAGGGTGGCTGTGTCAACAATAAAGGAGGCAGATCTGAGTTTTTTCTTAACATAAGTCCAAATGCAAGCTCACTTTTTTTTTTTTTGAGACAGAGTCTCGCTCTGTCGCCCCAGGTAGAGTGCAGGGGCATCATCATAGTTCACTGCAACCTCAAACCCCTGGGCTCAAGCGATCCTCCTGCCTCAGCCTCCTGAGTAGCTGGGACTATAGGCACACCCTACCACGCCCAGCTAATTTTTCTATTTTTAGTAGAGACAGGGTCTCCCTCTTCCTCAGGCTGGTCTTGAACTCCTGACCTCAAGTAATCTTCCTGCCTTAGCCTCCCAGAGTTCTAGGATTACAGGTGTGAGCCACCACGCCCAGCCAACAAGCTCACTTTTTGAAAAGAGAGGGAAAAGAACAATATGCCAAGTATGCCAACTGGGAGTCCATGTATGTTCGAGCATGCACACCAATGCATCAATGTATGTCCTATGTTCCTATGTGCACCTGTGTTTCCCATGAATATCTCTGTGCATGTTGTGTGCCCCATGTTCCCAGGGGTGTCTTCATACCTCAGAAAGTGAGGAGTCCCTTGGCCCTGAAAGAGAAGGATCCTGAGTCTGAAACCATGGGACTCTGAAATTTTGGGGGGCCCCAAAGCAGCAAGTGACCATGGAGGAAACATCCTCTCCCCAGTAGTCATAAGCAAAATCACTCATTTATCACACGATCTCCTCAGATTATACCTGGGTTCTACTTCTAGCTAGCCAGGGTCATGTTCACATAGAGCCTTCCCAAAGGATCTTGATAGGCTGAGGAATTCATAAAGTCATCCATTGATTCATTTATCACTTACAGTATTTAATAAGCATTCATGGACCACCTGCCATGCACCAAGCCCAGTGCTGGGCACATTTTCTGTTTCTCCTTTAATCTCGTGAAGTAGTTCATGAAACAGGAAAGGAAAGTTAATCACAACTGCAAGGGGTCTGGAATGCTAGTTAGAGTGTTTGAAATTTTTTCCTGAGGATGGGCCATGGAGAGTCCCAGGAGAGTTGTCAGTAGGGAAGTAACATGGTCCAGTCTCTCTTGTTGCTAGAGTCGCATCGGAAGAAATGAATAAACTCAGGAGACCAGTTAGAGGGAAACACCAGACAGTGGTTCTCAAACTTTAGTGTGATTCTGAGTCACCTTAAGGACACTGAAACACAGATTGCTGGGTTCCAACCCCAGAGTTACTGATTCAGGAAGTCTGAGGTGGAGTCCAAAAATTATGACTTCTAGCAAGTTCCAAGATGTTGTTGGTGATGCTGACCCAGGGACTACACTTTAAGAACCACTGGAGTATGACAAAGAGTAAGGTAGTTTAAGGTGCTGACAGAGAGGTGCCATGCGCCTTCTGGGATACCCGCCTCAAGTCTCCTGCACATACTCCCATGAATGGATGTTTAAGGATCAGAAGTGGCAACACTCCATGAGGATTAGCTTGTGGGTATGAAGGAAGTGTCCCAGACTCTTCTGGGATGACCAGCAAATTTTGAACTTGAGGATGGTAGTGTCATTTACGGAACTATAGAACACAGTAGGAGAACAGGTTGGGGTTGGTAGTGGAGAAGGAGGAGATGTTGAATTCAGTTTGGGACTTGGAAAATTTCAGATGGCTACAACAAGCTATCTGGAGAACATATCCGGCTGGAAGTTGTGTCTATGGGTCTGGATCTCTAGTGAGAGACACACAGACTAGAGAGAACACGTTTGGGCGATAACAGTGGACAGGTAGGCATTAAAGACCTGAGAGGGGGTGAGCTTACTCATGAAGAGTGTGGACAGGAAGAAAAGGCAGAAGCTTCCACTCTGAGAATGAATAACTGACATTAAGGTGGGTGAAAAGAGAGGAGACAGAAAAGGAGACAGAAATGGTCAGAGTAGGGGGAGAATGAGGCAAGAAGGAGGTATCTCAAGCTGCAGGGTAGTTGGGTGAGGAAACCCAAGAAAGCCACCAGACAAGCAGCGCATCCGGTCACCCGAGCCTTACTTAGCCTGCTGGAGAGAGCAGGTGGCTCCTCAGAGCTGGGCACAGGCATCATTCCCCTGGACTTCTTGCAAAGGGGTCCACCAATTTGCATGCCATGCACTGACACCTGTCCTGTGGCTGAGGCTGAGGGTGGGAGGAAGAAGGTGTCTCCGCAGACTCACATACCCACATATGTAGACACACACACAAACATACTCCTGACCTCTGACCTGTCCTAGGCAGGAAGGTTGCAGAGCTGCCCAATTCTGCCTCATCCACCACCCTCACTGGAGTTCCAGCCTCTGGAAAGTTCTTAGCGAGGAATCCTTACTGCTAGTCTCCTTTTCCCACAGCCCCCCAGGCTGAGATACCCAGGCTTGGGCTCTGCCCCCACTATGTGCCTTTTGGGACACCCAGTTGGAATCATACATTCCATGGATTAATGTTATCACTGTCACCTCCCCTTCTATTCTGTCTCAATATTTTTACCTTTACCTTCTATACCTCACTAAAAAGGGACCTAAGAAAATAACTAGCCCCCCTGCCCTTTCCACTTTTTTGTTGTTGTTAAAGTTGCAGAAACTGAGATCAGAGATGAAAAAAGACTTGCCCAGGATCACACAGTCACTCACAGGACTAAATTCTAGGCCCCCGAGTCTGAGACAATACAGAACAGTGATTCTGAGCATGGGGAGAGACCAGTCGCAGACTACCCCAGCTCTGCCACTCAACTAGCGGCTTGACCTTGGGCAAGTCATTTAACATCTCTGTGCCTTACTCCTCCCCTGAGAATGGGGGTGATACGGGTATCCATCACATTGGGCCATTGTGAGGGTCGAATAACTCAATACTCATAAAGCACTTTGCTCAGAGGCTGGCACAGTCTGTAATAAGTGTTTGCTGTGATTATTTCCACCATGCCCTGGTCTGTGCTACTTGGTTTTTTAAACATCTTCCTTCTGCTTTCTTGATTGCCATTCTCCTTAGCATTTGCCTGTTTTTAATCCCTGTCTCTGCTTCTCAGGAGGGGAGGGTTGAGTTTTGGAGAAAAAAAGAGAGAATGACATAGATGCAGGAACATGCTTGACAGCTAGCCAGTGCCTGCCATGGTAACACACAAACACATAGCACATTAGTGTAACAATCACACCCCTCCGCGTGAGTCAGTTACACACAGATTCACTCCACAGGCCCTGGACGTCAAAGGCCCACACTTAATCAGCCCAGGTCCCTCTGGCTTCAGAAACATCTTGGCCCCTTCCCAGGTGGAGCTCATGCCCAATCCCCCTCCCACCACCACTGTCTGGCCAGTTGGTGTCTTCGACTTCCTCAGACCCTGGCTTGGCCTTGGGGGTTACCAGCCCGGGAAGCCTGAGTGAAGTGGGCACCTTCAGAAAGGTTTTGATCCATAACCATTCAGGAGAGACTGTGACGGACCCCCTACATGCACGCACACTGACTCGTGTGCACATGAGCCGATGGGCTCGAGTCTGCAGCTCACAAACTTCTTCCACATTCACGATTGCCCACCTCATCCAAAGTCCGGTGATGTGGTTAGAGAAAAGACAGAGACCCATTTTACAGACAAAGAAGCTGAGGCCAGAGAAGAGTAGTGCTTTGCTCAAAGGTAAGAATGCGATAGGGCCGAGAAAACGTAGGGCCCCCAAGTCCCAGCCTCGAATCCGTCTGTTTCACCGCAGCTGCGAATTGCGAGCTGCTGCGAGCCCAGAAGGCGACTCAGATCAACGCGGGTTTAATTCACGCCCCGCTACCCACCCCACCCAGGCCGGCCAAAGCCACGCCTCCCCCTTTGGTGGCCGCTGGGGAAAAGGGAGAGAATGGCCATAGCTTGTCTCTTTAATGCGCGCCCCCGGGGCCCGGCGCGCCCCCGCCACTATAACTGGAGTGCATGGAGCAGGCTGCGCTCAGAGGGAGAAGGGCGGGCGCTGGGCACCCGTTGACCGACTTTTCCAAGTGCGATCCGCACCCGTCCGTCCCGCCTCCATGGACCCGCCCGGGGACGCCCCCCGCTGAGGACCCCACGCTCGCTGGGATCCCGGCTGGGTTGCACCGGCTGCTGCGCCGTGACCCCCGCGGGCTGTGCCGGCTCCCCGCGCCTTTCCCGCAGCGCTCGCCGTCGGGCGAAGGCTCGGCCGCCGCCACGCCTCGCGCCCAGCGCCACCCGCCCCATGCTGGTGCACGCTTACTCCGCCATGGTGAGTAGTCTCGGTCCGGGCACCGGGGCATCCTCGGCCGGGGGATCGCGGAGCCTGCGTGCTGGACCTTTCAATCCTCCTGCCCCGCGCCAACGAAATCTCAGAGGGAGGGGGCCACGGGGCCTCCGCCAGCTGAGAAGCGGCGCGCAGGAGACCGCTGTCCCCAGCTGAGGCTCTCGCGCCCGTGGGTCCGTCGGAGATAGACCTCGGGGGCCCAGGAAGCGGGAGGGACGGCAGCTGGACACTCGCGAGCTCAGGAGGATCCTTTCGGGCTGAGGTCCTTGCAGCCGCCAGCGCATCACCTAACACTCCCCTCTCTTTCCCAGGAGCGCCCCGACGGGCTGGGCGCAGCGGCCGGCGGGGCCCGCCTGTCGTCCCTGCCCCAGGCGGCCTATGGGCCGGCAGCACCTCTCTGCCACACGCCGGCCGCCGCTGCCGCCGCCGACTTCCAGCCCCCCTACTTCCCGCCGCCCTACCCGCAGCCGCCGCTGCCCTATGGCCAGGCGCCCGACGCCGCTGCCGCCTTTCCCCACCTGGCTGGGGACCCGTACGGCGGCCTGGCGCCCTTGGCGCAGCCGCAGCCTCCGCAGGCCGCGTGGGCCGCGCCCCGCGCCGCCGCCCGCACCCACGACGAGCCGCCCAGTCTGCTGGCACCGCCCGCCCGCGCCCTGGGCCTTGACCCGCGCCGTGACTACGCCGCCGCCGTGCCCCGGCTCCTGCACGGCCTGGCCGACGGCGCACACGGCCTGGCAGATGCCCCCCTCGGCCTTCCCGGGCTGGCGGCGCCGGGCCTGGAGGACCTGCAGGTGAGGCCCCAGGGGTCCGGGATGGGTCCGGACGGGCCGCGGTGATTTAGCACGTTGGCTGGAGGCAAAAAGTGACAAATGCAGGAAGCTGACTTTTCTCCCAGCCCACCACTTCTCACTGGTGACTCCGAGGATGCGTCCCACCTCCTGGGGTCAACGCTGCCTGGCCATTAAGGCGGCCTGGCACTAAGTCCGCGCGTGGTGCCTGGATGGCGGCAACCCTGGGCCGGACCGAATCACTTCTTTCCCGCCCAGCTGGGCGATTGAGCCAAGTAGGGCATACATGGGGCAGCCTGCCCCCGGGGCAAAGAGAGGCGCGGCAGTTTCCCGTCTAAGGTTCAAATTTTCCTTTTCGCACGGCTCGGGGAGATACCCAGGGCTCCAGGTGAGATACCCAGGGCTCCAGCTCGGCCGCAGCTGGTGCCGAGTCTCGGCGACTCCTGGTCCCGCCCGTCGCCGCCCCAGGCGATGGTGGTGCGCGTTGGGCGGGGCCGACAGAGACCAGGGGCAGCAGGAGTCTGGGAAATGACAGGCGACTCGGTCCACACGAGCCCTCACCGCCGCGCTCTCCTATTTGCAGGCCATGGATGAACCGGGAATGAGCCTCCTGGACCAGTCCGTGATCAAGAAAGGTAAGGAATGGCGTGCATCTGCCAGGGCAGAGCCGGGCAAGATGGTGCAGGCCTAGGCGCACAGACCCATTATCTTCACCATATTCTGTGCCTCCTGCGTGTCGCCAGGCTCAATGTCCACCAGGCACTCTTCCTGGCCCAGTAGAGGCCCAGCAGAGGCTGCGGGCCTGGCCAGAGTCTGGGCAGCGGCACGGGCCTGGAGAGCTGGCCCCGGACCCTGCGGCCTGGGCTGGGCCCCGGTAGTCTGCGCTCACTCGGCTGCCGCGCGGGGGCCTGGCCTGTCTCCGCCAAGGGGAGAGCGCGCTTGTGGATCTGGAGTTGATTCGCAGAACAAGTTAAACCACTTCCCTGTTTCCTCAGAGGTGGGAATGGAAGTGCTGTTCCCACAGATTTCGGTAAATGATTTTCACTTTACAGAGCCTTAGCATTTTGGAGCCTTGTAGGTGCTTTCTGCCCCTACCTTCCCAGCAGGGCCTTGGGGGCCTCTCGTTTCCTCCTGGGAATTTTCTTTGCGGGAGCCTTTTTCGGCATTTAGGCTTAGGGGAGCTAGTGTGTGAATGCTGTGTGTTCGGTTGTGTGTATGCGGGTAAGGGCCTGGGTGTCTGTGTCCATGTGAGAGTTCAGGGTCCTGTGCTTGTCTAATACGGTCCTTTCCTGGGTGTCTTAGTATTTCTTGGCATGTGTATCTCTGTTTCTCCGAGTGTATTTGTGATGTGTGTTTATGTATATTGGTGTACATTTCTCTGCGTTTGGGGGTCTCAATATGTGTGACAGTATCTCTGTTGGGTCCTGGAATTTTTCTTTGGTATCCGAGGATTTCTAAGAATGTGAGGTTCCCTCCCTGTGTATTTTTGGGAGTATTTTTGTGTCTCTTCGCAGTGAGACCCATCTCTGAGTGGATTTTTGAGCCTGAGGACCAGATCGAGTTCTGGCAGTGCCAGGGAAAGGCAGACAGACAGAGGGAAAGAGAGAGAGAGACAGAGAGAAACAGACTCAGAGGGGCCCAGGCTTTGAGCCAGATCCTTACACTAGGGCTGGCGCCCAAATTTGGAGGCGCACTCGAGCCCCTCAGTGCCAGGGCAAAGGCTGCTTGGGGTTTGGCTCAAGTTGTTTTTCAAAGGAGTGAATTTAAGCCTGGGCTCTGTTTGCCCTCCACGTGTTCTCAGCTGAGGCTGGGGTGGAAGTGGGACTAGGGGACAGGGGCTGGACCTCCAGGAACTGGGGCTGGGCTACCAGGAGCTGGGAGTTGGCTGGATGACTGGGCGTATGTAGAGGGGAGTTGAGAGGACAGGCCTCTCAGAACGTGGGGGGCGGGGGGAGGCAGGAATTGGGGCTGTGTCATCTGGAGCTGGGGGTGGGAAGGACTCTGGAAATCTGGCTGCACACTGGACCCGGCTCTGCTGGCCAGCAGTTCATTGGCTTAGTGGACAGTGCCCTTCATGAACCCAAAGGAAGGGAGAGCTTGGTCCGCAGTTGGCAAGAGCCTGCCACTGGGCCTCGTTCACTGGAAACATGACCACGGTGGCAGTCCCCAGTTCCCTACTCCTGCCAGGGCTCAAGGGGCTGAGGGCCTAGATTCACTGACTCTCTGAGGGAGGCCAAGACCCTGCGTTTTGGGAAGGGGCTTGGGGACCTCTGCCCTGGGAAGGATAGAAGGATCAGCTGTTGCTCTGAGCACCTTCACCTACGAACCTCCCTCGGGCCCGAGCTGGGACAAGAGACAGGATGCCAGGAGGGACTGTAATTGCCCCAGAGTTGGTTTTCTCTCAAAGGACATCAGCTTCCCAAACTCTAAGAGTCCTAGGTGTGCCAGAATTCCCAAAGGCAGTCCAAACGACACAAGGAGTGCGGCCGGACTGTCCCGGGTGCGGCGCGCTGGCTGCCTGGGGCGCATGTGGGGCGGCGCGGACTCGGGCGTTCACAGCGGCGGGACCCCACGCCCGCCCGCGGTGGCCGAGGGGAGCGACCTGAGCTGGGGATGAGCCCTGGACGCCCCTGCGACATCGCGCTGCAGCCCGAGGCGCTGCGGCGAAGGGGGAAGGGGCAAGGGGCAAGAACCGCGGGCTCCCCGCGGAAGGAAGCGCCGGTTCGGAGCCGCGAGCTCGGCCCCCTGCTGCCGGCGCTTTCCGGCTTCGCAGACGCGGAGCTGGATCCCGCCGTCCCAACCCCGGGCGCGGCGCGGGCGGCTGGGCAGGTGGGCCGGCTGCAGCCCTGCTCCCCGCCGCGCAGCCCGCGGTTTCCCTCGGCCCTGCGCCGTCGCGGCGGGACTGCGGCCTCGCTGACCGTCCCCGGCGTCGCCACGGAGGTGACGATGAATCCGCGCCCTTCTTCGCCTCGGGCCGTTCTGGCGGCATCTGGAGCCCGGGTCGTGCCCCAAAGGCTTCCGGCGCCCGCCCGGTGAGCGCGCGACCCCACCCCGCCAGACCCGGGAACCGCAGACGGTCGCGCGGGGCCGGCGGGAGCGTCGGGTTCTCTGGCTCCTCGCGGCTTCGGCGGGCGCGGCGGCTGCGTGGCGGGCGGTTGGGGTCCAGGGCGCGGAACCCAGGCAGCCCCGGCCCCACCAGAAGCGGCCTTCCGACCGCGGGGGCGGGGTGGGCCCTCGCGCCTGGGCTTGGCCGGTGCGGCCCGGAGAGGAGCCTGGAAGCCCGGGGGCCCCGACCTGGGGTATGGAGTCTTCGCTGCTTGCAGGCCCCTGTCGGGGAGGGAAGGGGAGGCACAGCCCCCGCCCCACCACAGGCTTCCTGGTCGCCCGCCCTGAAGCCGGCCCGAGGGGAATTAGGGGCCCTCCGTTTTCTGCCCACGTTTGTCGCCATCAGTTTTACAGCCTGTCCCAGAGACACAGAAAGCAGGCGGGACTGGTGAGCAGGGTCTGTAGGGGACGCGGTGGAAGCTCAGAGGAGCGGTGAGTGCCTGACTCCTCCTACTGGACAGAGATTTGAGCCAGGCTCAGTAGGTGCTCAGTGGGTGTTGAATGAATGAGTGACGGATTTTGAAGTCTGAGTGCTTTGGGAGGAGGAGTGTGTAGAAAGGGCTACTGTCCTTGCTACATCAGCATGTGCAAATGCCCTCCCTGTGGAAAAGCTAGACAGGTTAAAAAGCTTAAAAACTTGTGTGAGTTTCAGGTTATACATTCACAGCTGGAGGGGAGTGGTTCAGGGATGAGAACTGAGATGTATCCCTCCTTCTCTCCAGAGGAGAGTGGGTGGTTGCCTACCTGGGGGTCGGGAACCCTTCCCCACAGGGTTTTATTTTATTTTTTTAAATAAAAAAAATGCAAAAAAAAAATCCATGACAAAATATTAAAAATATACATGAATACAAATCTGATCCTGCACTTCCTCAATCCTTCCTCACTTGCCTCCCAGGCTACTGTCTGCCCCAGAAGGCAACTAAAAAAGCAGTGCCCATGCAGATAGAGCTTGGACTTTATCTGAGGACAGTGGGAGCCACGGAAGAGCGTGGAGCAGGGGAGTGAAGGGTAGGAGCTACATTTAAAAGAAACCTTCTGGAAGTTAATGAGAAGGAAACTTAACCAGCAGGTCCCACTGCGGGAGATGAGAAGACTCAAGTGGGCTGGGGGGAAGGTCACCACCCCTCCTATCTGCCTTCTTTCTGCTGTTCCCACCACTCAAGCTTCGGACAGTGCTACCGTAAGTGCAGTCTAGGGAACCATATGCACTAGAATTCCCTGGGGATGCTTGTTAAAAATACAGATTTCTGTGCCCCACCCCATATCTACTGAATGAGAATCCCTGGAAGTATGGCCCTAGAACTTGCATTTTGTAACTGATTTATTGAGGTAAAATTTACGTACCTAAAATGCACCCATGGTAAGAATATAATTTGATGATTTTTATTAAATGTATAGAGTTGTATACCCATTACCACAATCCATTTTGAGATATTTCCGTCAACTCCAAAATTCCTTCATTCCCATTTGTAGTTAATCCCTATACTCACCCCAAGTCTTAGGCAACCACTGATCTGCTTTCTGTCCCTAAATTTGCACATTCTGGACATGTTATATAAGTAGGATATATAAATATGAAGGCTTTTGCATCTAGCTTCTGTTACTTAGCATAATGTTTTTGAGGCTTGTCCCTGTTATAGCATATATCAGTAGTTTGTTTCTTTTTATTGCTGAGTAGTATGCCATCGTAGGGATGTAACATATTTTGTTTATCCATTGGTCCAGTTGATGGGCACTTGGGTTGTTTCGCTTTTTGGCTATTATGAATAGTGTTGCTGTGAACATTCATATACATGCCTTTGTGTAGACATATGTTTTCATTGCTCTTGGGTAAATTCCTAGGAGTGGAATTGCTGGATTGTATGGTAAGTTTATGTTTAATTTTTGAGAAACTGAAGATGTTTTCTAAAGTGGCTGTACTGTTTGACATTCCCACCAGCAATGTGTGAGGGTTCCAGTTTCTCCATATCCTCAGCTACACTTGGAATTTTGATTATAACAGTCTACAAGTGTCTTAGTATAGTTTTAATTTGTGTTAATTTAATGACTAATGCTGTTGAGCACTTTTTCATGTGCTTACTAACCATTCATCTACCATTTTTAATGAAACATCTGTTCACATATTTGGAGCATATTCTTTTTTTTTTTTAGGCAATCATGAGGTGAAATTTATTGAGGGGGAGCAAGATGGGATTATAAAGCAAGAGCAAGATATAGGTTTAGCAAGGTAGATACTCCACAGATGACAACCAGAGCCCTGTTGCAGCAGAAAAGAGAGACCATATTCTCATTCGGTTGTTATCTTATTATTGAGTTGTAAGAGTTCTTTATATATTCTGGATACACATCCTTTATCAGATATATGACTTGCAAATATTTTCTTCCAGTTCATGGTTTGTCTTTTTGTTTTCTTTCTTTTGTTTTTTTGTTTTTGATGGGGTCTTCCTGTGTTGGCTAGGCTGAAGTGCAGTGGCTAGTCACAGGCATAGTCGTAGGGCACTACAGCCTGGGTGATCCTCCTGCTCCAGCCTCCTGAGTAGCTGGGACTATAGGTTCACGTCAAACACACCTGGCTATTTTCTTAATAATGTCTTCTGATGTGCAAAAGTTTTAAATTTTGATGAAGTTCAATTTATCATTATTTCCTTTTATGGGTCATGGAACTTTGTATATAGGAACTTTTTGCCCAGCCCAAGGGCATGGAGATTTCTCTCCTATGTTTTCTTCTAGAAGGAATTGCAATTCTAACAAGTTTTCTGGGAGAATCTGCTGCACACTCCCAAGATTCATTAGTCAGACCATATCTACCACCTGTGTGTAGACTGTGTAGACATGTGTGTGTGTGTGTGTGTGTGTGTGTGTATGTGTGTGTCTTATCTGACAGACAGGTTGGGAACTCTTGTGTTTGCAGGAGCATGTGTGTGTGAATGGCTTCTGCATGTGTGACCAGGGCGACACCATGAGTAGACCATTTCAGCTTCAGGAGTCACCATGGTGGGGCCTGTCCTGTGGGTGTGGGGGACAAAGGCCAGTGTCTCTGCTTTGCAATCTGTGTTAGTTTGATCCCACCTCCCTGACTGCCCCTTCCCAGGCCCACCTGCTTCCCTAACCTTGGACTCCCTCCCTCTTGCCATTTTTGAGGGAAGAGGCTTTGAGGAAAACGGGGACAGGTGGAGGAATCAGCAAGGTCTGTCACTCCAATACACAAGCACATGTCCACATGTCATGCCAGACACTTACATTTAGTCATACCTATGTTGGCATAAATCTGGCATCAACAGGAGAGCACTTGCAGGTATCCATTTGCAGGCTGCCACATCCCTACACACTGGAGGAGGGCAGGGACTATGTCTGGGTATATAGCTGTGGCCCAGTATTTGTTGAATGAGCAAGTGTACACATACACAATCTCATCCTCATTGCTGTTTCGATGACAAGGGCATACAGTTTTTATGTACAGTCACTTTGTGACACACATCCACATTTGCACATGCACAAACAGCTTCACACAGCCTTGGTCTCTCTCCCCTCTCACAGGGCCTGGCCTCGGTGGGCCCAGGTTTTAACAGCAGTTGGATGGAGGAGGCTGCTGGAAGAGAGAATTTCCTGTTCTTCTGACCCCTCCTTCTGGCCAGGGATGATGGGAGGGAAGAGAGTCACTTTCCCTTCTTTTTATTTTTAATTTATCAATTTGTAGTTTTATTTTTATTTTTTAAAGTCATACTTGAGGTATAATTTATATGCAGTACAGTTCACCTTTTTAAATGTACATTTCTATAAATTTTGACAAATGTACACATATATAACCACTAAAACAATCGAGATAAAGAATAGTTCCATTGTCCCTTCAGGCAGAGGGACACAGGTGAAGAGAGAAGCTTGGTTCAGATACGCACACATGTGCACAGGCCTGGGAGACACTGTAGGAGGGACAGGGCAGGGCCAAGGCTGGCTCTTAGTGCATGTCCAGTGCTGTGTCCTGCTGAATCGAGCAGTCCCGGCTGCTCACTCTGGGGCAGGGCCAGGATTAGGAGAGGGCGAATGAGGCAAGGTCATGCAAGAGCAGGATCAGAGTCCGCCTTTATTCAAAGTTTGATATTTTGTTCACCATGGATTTTTTTTTACATTTTGCTTTTAAAAAATACTGCATTAAAATACCACATATCTTAACTACTGAGTTTTTTGGTGCCTCCTTAAGTGTTGCACCCAAGGCGAGTGTCTTGCTTGCCTTATCCTAGTTCTGGCCCTGCACTGGGGACAGGAAACTCATTGGAGCAGGGGGCAGGAAGTAGGGGAGTGTGCTGCTCATTCTCTCCACATCCTCCCAACTCCCCACTGTCCCCTCATCCATGATCTTTTGGCCCGTCCGTGGTGCCTGAATAGGAACCCAGGGAGAAAGGGCAGGTTTATTATCTGTTGCTAGCAAAGGAATGAGGCTCCCCTCACTACTCCCGACATCTAGGCTGTGGGCCATCACCCTTTTCCCACTTGGGATCCCTGGGCCCTTACATCACTAACTTGTCCCACATTTACTCATGGCCACCTGTGCTAAGACTCTGTTCTCAGCGCACTTCTCCTTGGTAGGGAAGACAGCCACGGAAGCAGACAAGGGAGGTTCTGTTTGGCAAGTCCTGGGATGGGGTGAGACAGAGCTTGAAGGAAGCTCTGTGCTTGGAGTGGTGCCTAAACTTGGCTTGGGAAGGAGGGCCCTGCTCAGTAGCATGGAGAAGGGCCCTGGGACAGACAGAGCAGCTCTGTGGGGCTCAAGGAGCTCACACCCGAGGGGCCCACATCCCAGGGGGCACTTCATACAGGTTCCATTTGGTCTGTGCTGGGTTTAAAATCTTTGAGTCAGCTACCAATGCTTAAAAATCCAGAGATTTCAGCTGGGCATGGTGGCTCACACTTGTAATCCCAGCACTTTGGGAGGCCTAAGCTGGAGGATCGCTTGAGGCCAGGAGTTCAAGATCAGCCTGAGCAACATAGTGAGACCTCATCTCTACAAAAGATTAAAAATATTGACCAGGCATGGTGGCACATGTCTGTAGTCCCAACTATTTGGGAGACTGAGGGGATCCCTTCAACCCAGGAGTTTGAGGTTGCAGTGAGCTATGATGATGCCACTGCACTCCAGCCTGAGCGACACAGTAAGACCCTGTCTCAAAAAAAAAAAGAAAAAAGAAAGAAAAGAAAAATCCAGAGATTTCACATAAGAATCCAGCATCCTAGTTTCAAAAACCAACAACAAAAAAACCCAAAACCCCAGGAGCTCTGGCAGTGTGGGGTCTGTGTCCTGCATGGCGGGACTTACACAAGGTGTCTGCTCCAGCCTGCCAGTCTCCCCCAGTTCCACATCTCACTTACTGTGTTACCTGTTGTGCCCCGCCTTGAAGTCTGGAGCTGTGCTGTCCACCAGGGTGGCCACTAGCCATGTGTGGCTCTTGAGCACCTGAAATGTGACTAGTCTGAATTGAGTTGACCTTAAGTGTAAAATGCATTGGATTTTGAAGACTAAGTATAAAAAAAAGTAAAATATCTCTTTAATAATTTTTAAAATATTGATTACATTTTGAAATAATTATATTTTTATATATTGGGTAAATAAAATATATTAAATACATTATTTAATACATTAATTAAAATTAATCTCATGTTTCTTTTTACTTTTTAAAAATGTGGATACTAGGAAATATAGATTTATATATGTGGCTCACATTATGTTTCTATTAGTCAGAGGGTCTAGAGCCTTAGACAAATGGGGACCAGGCAAGAGGGGCAGGCAGGAGCCAGAACACGGGAGAGGGTGAAGGAGGCCATGATGGTTAAGGACGTGGACTTTGGAGTCAGTGGTCAGAGTTCAAAGCCCATTCCTGCTGATTATTTGCTGTGCCATTTGAACCTCTTCGAATTTTCAGTTTCTTCATTTTGAAAGGGGGTTGGGATAATAGCATCTGCTCCACAGAGCTGTTCATATAAAGTACTTGGTGGACAGCTGGCACTCATTGACAGGTAGGGGACATCATACTGCCCAGCTATGGAGCTGGTATTGGACTCTCGGGGAACTGACCAGGCACTGAGTTTCAGGCTGTGGAGTGATGCATCCAGAGGGAAAGATCCCTCTAGAGCAGGGCAGGGAGACCAGAGCAGGGGCTGTGCAGAAATTCAGGCCAGAAGAGAGCCAGCATCTGTGTGCATGCAGAGAAGTGGCCACATGTGAGCCACGTAAAGAAATGTAAAGAAATGAAAGCCGTAGGACGTGGCAGTGGATGGTATGTGGTGGGGAAACATTTAGCTTTCTGGCTAGGTGGCCAGGTGGAGGGTAGGAATGCTCATTCCGAGAGGAAAGAGACGAGGAGGTTCTGCCAGGTTAGGGACAGGGTTATTAGCCTTGTTTACTCGGTATTCCCAAGGCCTAGCACAGGTCTTGGCACGTAGGTGCTCAGCAAATACTTGCCAAATGGCTGGCAGGCTGAGAGCACTGCCTTTGCAATCACAGCCCTGGGTTTGCTACTGGTTCTCAGCCCACCAGTCGTGTGATCTCAGGCACACTACATCGTCTCCCTGTGCTTCGGTCCCCTCATCTGTAAAGCAGGAATAATAATAAGCCCTTGTGGGCTGTCCTGAGGATTCGGTGAGGTGAGCTATGTGAGCACAGCATAGTGAGCACTCAGTAAGTGTTAGCCCCAGACTTCAACTTGTCCCCACTCCCAACACACACAGGGCCTTTGTCCACCAAGACTCTCACTTCTTTGAAAGCAGAGAAGGCCAAGCGTTCCTCTGAAGAAGCAGGTGCCTTAATAGTCTCCCTTCCTCCTCAGGCTAGGCAGGAGGATGGTTAGACTGCAGGAAGAACTTTCTTTTATAGCCAAGAGTATCTAAGTGAGTTTTAGAAAATTAGCTTCTCAGATTCCCTTCTCTGTCCTTCAGAGTAATTAGTAGATAATTAGGGAGTATTTGGGGGAGGGGGCTGTAGGGCGTATCTCCTTATACCTGGTCTCCTGGGCATCACAGAGTGACTTGGCAGGAAGGGGCCAGGGCTAGAAGCAATAGGGCAATAACCTCGCTGATCTGCGGGGAAGGGAAGAAAGATGTGGAATCATAGGTGGGAAGAGAAATTGGGGACTCCCTGGCCAGGCCCTGCTGCAGTGACCCAGGAATCCTGCCTCTAGCTCAGACCCCACATCCTCCCGGCGAGCTCCCTCTCTGATGGCACCTGCCAAAGGACCAAGACTCTACCGAAGCTGTTTGAGTATTAAGAGGGGATCAGCCTGGCTCAGTGAGGGGGACACGGGTTCAAGAGCCAGACAGCTCTTGGTTCAGTTTCCACACCCGTTATCTCAGTGAACTTGGGTGGGTCACTTTAATCTCACCATGCCTCAGTCTCTCCCTCTGTAAAGCAAGTTTATAATAGAACCTCCCTCCGAAAGGTGCTGGATGTTTCCAAGTACAGGGCTGGCAGCAGGTGCCGTGTGCTGTGGCCACTGGCTCAGTGCTTCCCTCTCTCCCTGCTCTTGCCCCGGCTCCACAGTGCCCGTCCCCTCCAAAGCCAGCAGCCTCTCGGCCCTGGTGGTGGCTAAAGACAGCCTGGTTGGTGGCATCACGAACCCCGGTGAGGTCTTCTGCTCCGTGCCTGGCCGGCTCTCACTGCTCAGTTCGACGTCCAAGTACAAGGTGACGGTGGGGGAGGTGCAGCGGCGACTCTCACCTCCAGAGTGCCTCAATGCCTCCCTCCTGGGGGGCGTCCTCCGCAGGTAGGAAGGCCAGCCCATGTCCCCCGCACAGTGCTCCAGCTGAAATCCCTGGTGTCCTCAGCCCTGCTCAGGGCATCAGAGAGAGGGAGCCAGCCCACCCCTGGCCACAGCGTCATCTGTCTCAGTCTCCCTGGGATAAGAGGCCCCAGGGACTCTAGATTGTGCATGCTCTGTGGGCAGGCCCAGGTCTCCAGCAGCTCTTACAGGTCTGTGGGCTTGCGGGTAGGGAGGGGGGCAGAGAAAGAAGCCTGGGCACAGGGAAGGGACGCAGGACCCATCCACATTGGGCAGGATGGACAAGGCTGGATCTGGGGAAGAGAGTGCCGTCTTCACCCCCTCCCCCAGGAAAGAGACCCCCAGGACCCAAGGCCCATTCCCTGTGGCAGCATAGGCTTCACCTGTGTGTGTTTTGGGGTGGGGAGCCTGGTAGTCCGTGGTTTGTGTTCATAGTCATGTGTCTGTCTCTCTCTGTGCATATCCTTGTGCCTGGGAACGGCATGTCTGCTTCAGGGCTGTGAGTTTTGATGAGTGTGAGGATGGCGTGTACATGCATATGTGTGTGTAGCAGGGGATGGCCAGGACTCTGTTTCCATGAGGGTGAGTGTCCTGTTTAACTTCTAGTGCGATGTGTGGGCTGGAATGTGTCCTGCTGTGTGCATTTGTGCATGTGTGTATAATCACATGTGCATCTGGAGCTAGACATATGTATGTTTACATGTCTACCTCTGTGGGAGCTGCACTGGTACAGTTGTAGGGGGTATCTCCTTATTCCTGGTCTCTTTAAGCATCTCTTTGAGGTTCTCTATGAATCCCTGAGTGTCTACATATGTCCCTGGGATCCTGACTGGCTGTGATCCTGTGTCTCTGAGTCTGTGGGTCTTGCATATGTCTGTCTCTGTTGGTGTCTATGTGTTTCTGTTTTCACCCTCAGTGTGTATCCATCTGCGTGTGTGTGCGTGTGTGTGTCTAAGAGTCCCAGGATGGCTGCATGCATACCTTTCTCCCCATCTCCCTGTCTGTGCATCTCTGGGTAGCTGTGTATGGCCCAGCCGGTGAGCTAAGGACCCCAGGATGCTGGCCTATCCTGCTCCACCCTAGGCTGCCTCTGTTGTTGAGATACTGGGGCAGATTGTGGGGCCCCTGGAGCTGGGTGCTGGAGCCCCGCACCCCTGTCTTGGCTATAAAACTAGTGAGGGTAGGACCTTGCTGAAAGAGACCCTATAGCATCCCCAGGGCCAGACCCAAGCCTCAGCAGGGGTTGGTGGGGGCAACAAAGCTCTTTTGGGGTCACTTGGCCTACATGCTCCTCTCGTCTTCATAGCTGTGTGTCTGTCTCTCTCTGTGCATGTCAAGGGCCAAGTCCAAAAATGGGGGCCGGTGCCTGCGGGAACGGCTGGAGAAGATCGGGCTCAACCTGCCAGCTGGCCGACGCAAGGCCGCCAATGTGACGCTGCTGACTTCCCTGGTGGAGGGTGAGTGAGGCCTGAATGTGGGCATGAGAGTGAATTCGAGGGGACACATGTCATCTGGTATGACCATCTCTAATGCAGGAGGCTGTGTTTAGTAATGTGCATGTGTATTTGCATACATGTTGCTGGATCTGTATGTGTACTCCCTGTGTGTCATGCAGAAGTAAGGTGTGTGTGTGTGATATCTGTGTATAGTCTTTGTGCATGTATGCATGCCTGTGCAGTAGAAAGCTACCTGGAGCATGTGTGTGTGTGTGTGTGTGTGTGTGTGTGTGTGTGTGTGTGTGTGTAGGGGGAGCAGTGGCCAGTATCCGGATGTGGTAAAGGGATGAAGGGAATGAGAACCCCTTCTCTGGAGGTTAGTGGCTCTGGGCTCTGGCTCTGGGATACATGGTGGGCCCAGCTCCCATCTCTGAGCTTAGAGCCCATCCCTGGTGGCCCCAAGGACAGGCAATGGAATGGAGGCTAGAGCTGGGCTGGAAGGAAAGCCAGAGGGGACATCTACAGAAGCAGGGTGGAGCAGGGTCCCCCCTTTCCAGGGTTTGGAGATTCAAGGCTGTGCCCCAGGCTCAGAGTGGCATAGGCTGGCAGCAAGTGACAGCTCCCCTCCCCCTAGGAGAGGCCGTACACCTGGCCCGAGACTTCGGTTACGTCTGTGAGACGGAGTTCCCAGCCAAAGCAGCCGCCGAGTACCTGTGCCGACAGCATGCTGACCCTGGAGAACTGCACAGCCGAAAGAGCATGCTGCTGGCCGCCAAGTGAGTGAGGGTACCACGCACAGGCACACGTAGGTGCAATGCACAGGCCGTCATCACAGCATCATAGATGGACACCACTCAAGAGCACACACATGTGCATATAGCCCACGTGGTACCAGAGACATATCTAGGCTCCCTGCTTAGGTTCACAGGGGCACACTTGGGCACCACATGTGGGCATACTTGGGCATGATGTTCATCACACTCAAACATGACCATTTCCCACAAGCACCTGGGGGCGCACATGAACGTTACATATGAACATACCTGGGTACTGTGCATTAGTAAAAACAATGTCACATACAGGCTTACACAGGCCCATGTGTGGGTGCTAGGCTCACATACCTTGACCCATGGCACCACCAGCCCAGGCCCTGTTGTGGGTCTGAGGCCCCTCTGTTGCAGTGACATCCCTCAAGCCACCAGATCACACTTGACCCTCTGCAAGTCCCCTTGGTGGTTCCCTCACAGGCTGCCACCTCAACTCAGGTCTCATCTCACTCCTGGACCTTCACTCCAGAGTCCCCATTCCCTCAACCTCCCTGCTCATGCACCGCTCTGCTGCACAAGAATCTTCAGTGGCTCCCGCTCTTGCTGCATTGATTTTCAAACTAGGTCTGTGGGGACATCTCAGGGCCTGTTTAACAAACTGCTATTCCATTGAGATTTAGTTTTTCAGAAAGGATCCTTGTCTTAGTCCAAGGCTGCTATAATGAAATATCATAAACTGGGTAGCTTATAAATAATAGAAATTTATTTCTCAGAGTTTTGGAGGCTGGGAAGCCCAAGGTCAAGGCAGAATCCCTGTCTGGAGAGGGCCTGCTTTCGGGCTCATAGATAGCTCCTGGTTGTGTGGCCTTACATTGTACAAGGGACAGGAGGTCTCTCTCTGGCCTCTTATAGGAGAACTAATCCTATTTATGAGGGCTTCACACCTACGACCTAATCACCTCCCAAAGGTTCTCCCTCCTAATACTATCGCCTGGGGGGATAAGATTTGAACATATGAATTCTGGGGGGACACAAACATTCAGACCATAGCAATTCCATTGCAAGAAAAGACAGAGAAGGGGAGAGAAGGAGGAAGCGAGAGAGAAATATGAGAACCATCAATCTGTAGACTTAAGTCCAAACTCCTTTGAGGGCCCCACAATTTGACTTGCACAGACGCCACCCACTCTCCAGACCTGTGTGCTCTCTCCTGCCCTCACATCCTTGGGCTTGCCCTTCTCCTGCTTGGAACACCATCCGGTCCTCCCACCTAATGCAGGCCTTCAAATGGCAACCCCACTGTCCCTCCTGTGAGGCTTCCCTCCAGTCCCCTGGGCAGAAGAGGAAGCACAGATTCACCAGGCCGCCACATGGAGAGACCTCTGAGGCTGCTCACATCTAGCTGGAGAAACACATCTGGGCAGGGCTCACCTCATTCACTAATCAGCGCATTCAGCAAGTACGTTCTGGGTCCCAGTCACGTCTGAGATGCTGGCTGGGTTCCACAGTGACACAAATATGAGTGATGAGTGATTCTCTTGCCCAAGCTACACACAGGATGCACAAAAGAATGAAAAATGACTGCAGACTAGAGCTGGATTCAGGTCCCACCTAGGTCACTTTGGCTGGCCATCTAACCTGTCTGAAACCAGTTTCCTCATTCATACCATGGGGATAATAATACTATAGATTTGTGGAGAGGATTAAGTGAGATGATGCATAAAGCATACTTGGCACCGAGTCTAGGCCTCAATTAATATTTGCTGCTAGCAATTCAGTTATGCAAGGCAGATTCTGGATTGTTCCCTAATAATTTCAAAGACAAAGTTCTGTGAAGCATTGGGTGTTTGGGGGAGGAGAGGGGCTGAAGACATTTTCCTGGATAAGGTAGTAAGTAGTTGAGCTGTACTTTGAATTTGGCAGGACATCCAAAGGAGAGAGACTGTAGGGTATTGACATGTGCTATTTCCTAGTTGTGTGATGTTGGGCTAGTCAGTTAACTTCTCTAAATCTTAGTTCTCTTTTCTGTAAAATGGGTATGATCATCATTTGCACACTGTTGGCAGGGTCGGCTATCACATAGATAATGTACATGAAGTGCCTAGCAGATAGGAGGTCCTTCTCTGGGCTCAGACCTTTGTCCTCTAACCTCTGACCCTCCTTCCCCACCAGGCAGATCTGCAAGGAATTTGCGGACTTGATGGCTCAGGACCGCTCGCCACTGGGCAACAGCCGCCCGGCACTCATCCTGGAGCCTGGAGTGCAGAGTTGCCTGACACACTTTAGCCTCATCACCCATGGTTTTGGCGGGCCTGCCATCTGTGCCGCCCTCACTGCCTTCCAGAACTACCTGCTGGAGTCACTCAAAGGGCTGGACAAGATGTTTCTAAGCAGTGCGGGCAGTGGGCATGGCGACACCAAGGCTTCGGAGAAGGATGCCAAGCATCGGAAATAACCACTTCTTCCGCCCCAGCCTTAGGGGGTTCCCAAGGCCTAAAATGAGGCCTTAGCTCCTGGGGGTGGGCCTGAAAGGACTGAAAGGTGGGATTAGATCAGGCCAGAAAAAGAGCATTCATTCAGAAACCCTAGAATTAGGGATCTGGGTTGGTAAGGGAGGGTGGCCTCTCTGTGGTGGTTTGTTGGTAAGTTAAGGACCCAGATATATGTCTCACATGTGCAATTTTCTGACCTTTGATTGCTGGGAAGGGCTTGGGTAGAAAATTGGCGTGGGAAAGTCTGGCTGATGGGGCAGAGCTCTTCCCATTAGGGTGCCTAGGCAGCAGGGGGTACTCCTAGTTGTTAATAAATCACAGGTGCTACTGAGGAGTTGGTGCCCCTCATCCCAGAATCTCTTACCCTTGGAAGAGGGGTGCTGGCATTAAGCCCCAGTGGGCTCAATGGACCATTCCCACTCTTAGAAGTGGGCAGGAGGGGCGCTCAAGGAACAAAGAAGATTAAAGCACAAATTGCAGAACTTGAATCCAGGCTGCACTTCACAGTCCTGTTGCTGTCTGTCCTATTTATTTATCTTGTACTTAAATTTGAACGTTTAAAAGTGTCCAGTGCAATTTATTTATCCCAATGTGTTGGGGATTCATTTCACTGTTTTCTGCTCACGCACCAAGATGTCCAGCTGGACCAGGATGGAGAGGGTGATTTTGCTCACAAAGGGCTGTAGGTGGGCTGGGAGGGAAGAAAGGTGTGTCAGGCACCGTGAGGTTGTTGCTGGGATTTTGTATTTGCGGTTGTTTCTCTTGGCCCTGCAGTTGATGTACTTCCCCATCTCGTCATCTCTCATTCTTCTAATAAAGCCTTTCATTGGATATGATGCCTTCGCTGTTCTTCTGGAGCCCAGGTCTGGATTTGCCTCCTATAAGGGCAAGGTCACCGGGGAGAGGAAGGGCCTGGGAATTAGGAGTGGGGATTGGGTGGGAAGGGGTCTCTAAGGGGGAACCATGGAAGGGAGGTGTGGGTACCTCTGTGGGTGGGGTTACCGAGGTTGGTGGGTCCATCTGGATTGTCAGTGTGGCTGTTGGTGTGTGTCAAGTGGCTACTGTATGTGCATTATTATGACTTGGTGGGCCGGGGGGGACTGTGGATGAATGTGTCAGTTTGGCTGTTAGGTGATGAGTTAACCATGACCACTGGTGGTGGGTCTGTATGTGTGTCAGTGTGAATGCCGGTGAACTCTGTGTGACTATGTGCACACGCATGTGTGTATCAGGCAAATGGTAATCCAGCTGTCCAGGCTTCTTGAGGATTTCACCCTTCAGGCATCTTTTCTTTCCTGTATCATCAGTCTCTCCCTCTCTACTTGTCTACTAGATCATTCCTCAAAGCACACATGTTCTAGCCTCTCTTATCTTACAAAACATAAATCCTTCCCCATTTCTTTACTTCCTTTGCAGTTAAAGTTTTTGAAAGATTGCCATACCGCCACCTCCCCTTCACCCCCAATTCACCCTTCAGCCCACTTCAATCCGGCTTCTATCCTTACCAGTCTATTGAAACCCATTTGGCATGGTCATTGATGACCACAATGTCAAATCCAAAAGGCTTTTTTTTTCTGGATTCAGCAGCAGTGTCTGACACGGTTGACCACTTGCTCTTTTCTGAAACACTCTCTTCTCTGTGATTCCCAACTTTTGGTTTCCTCTGACCTCACTGGTTCCAATTATCTTTACTGGCTCCTTTTCTCCTTGACCTCTACATACTGGCCTTCCTCAGAGCCTTCTCTTTTGTATCCACACTCTCTCCCTAGATGGTCTCATTCAATCCCATGGTTTCAATGTCATCTATATGCTGCTACCTCCTGAATTTGTATCTTCAGCCCAGATTGTTCCCTGAACACCAGGCTTCGATGTACAACTGTCTGACGTCTCTGCTAGATTGTCTAACAGGCATCTAAAACTATGTCCAAAATGGAGTACGTGGCTTAATTACTCAGTTGACCTCTCCTAGACTGTCCCACCTCAGTAAACGGCCCCACCTTCTACCCTGTTAGTTGCTCAAGCCAGAAACTGGGGAGTTGTATTTGATTCTTCCCCTACACTCAATCCCCCAGAGTCCTGTGGATTCTGAGTCTATCCTCTTTTCTCTCCTGCCACCACCCTAGTTCTCTGGACTACTGCAATAGTCTCCCAGCTGGCCTGTTTTCTCTGGTACACCTTCCTACTAAGGCCCTGCAATGATCTGGACTTTACCTCCTTCTCCAACCTCATCTTAAACTATTCTCTTTGTCAATCACTCACTTTGCTCCAGCCACACTGGTTTCCTTTCTGTCCCTCAAACTACCACTTTGTTTCATGCCTCAGGGCTACTGCACTCACTATTGTTTGCCTGGAATGCTGTCCCCCATGTCTTTGCAGGTGTGTGTCAGGGACAGGTACTGGGCTGCTTTGCAGAAGTGAAGGGTGTTCTAGGAACTCGGGGTCTAGGCATCATCTCTCAGAATAGGGGCCCAAAGATTTCTTTTCCCAAGAAGGTTTAATGCTCCAACTCACCAATATGAGAGGAGGAATGGAGGAGGAAGGCTGGATATATGCTCTGCTTTAACTAAAGCCCAGGGCCTGGCAAGAGACATTATACAATTAAAATTATCTTAGACTATGGGAGGTTGAGGGGATTAAATAACAGGCATGTAGCACTTAAACAATGCCTGGCATATAGTAACAAATCAATAAAAGGTTGTAAATATCCAGAGGGTAAACAAGGAAGAAATTAATTTATCAAAAACTTTTCAGGGCTGGAAAACTCTCCAAGGAAAGGACCACGTAGTCCTCACCAAGTCCTACTTTAGGAATAAGAAAATCGTAGATCACAGCAATTTGTCCCAGGTCACAGAGCAAGTATGTGGGACTCACACATCTGTCTGATCCAACCCTTCCTTCATTTGTACTGCACCACATGCCCCACTGCAGAGAGGCTCACAGGCTTGACCCCAGCAAGGGGAGGCAGGTCTTCCCAGCCCCTCATGCCCCAAGGCCCTGCTATGCCAGCATATGGCCAGGATCATTAACAGTGCAGAGGAAGCAGAACAGAGTGGAGACTATAGAAGTGGCATAAGAAGCTTCTAATGAGGTCTCAGCATTTGATTCTTCCCATTAAGTTGTTTTTATTTTTTTTTTGGCCACAGCAAAACAAATTGTTTTAGCCTCTGACTAGCTAGGTTTAGCCGTAAGGAAAAGTAGATGATGATTAAAGAAAAAGTATACATGGATAGTTTACATTGCTTCTTTTTTGCAAAGCAAGTAGCTGCAAATTAAGTGGACACTATTTAGACTGGGTAAGCATTCCAATTTTCACACTGTGGGAGTTTAAAGAAAAGACTTTCCTGTTTTCTTTTGAAGGATCATAGTGTTCCAGGAGAAATAAGAAAAGTACAGGCTTTGAAAACCGTGCCTCCTTCGATCCTCATGAAGGACGGTAAGTGAGGGTGAGGTGCAGGTGATTCTCCTCCCAAACACACTTACTCATAACACACACATAGGAGCTAAGTGAGCAGCAGACATTCGGGGAGTATCGGAGAATGCGCCTCCTTCTCTTGCTTAGTCACTGCAGCTGCTTCAGTCGAAGGGCCAAGGTCACAGAGTAAAAGGACTCTAGACTTCAGGCAGAGCAGGCCCAGCCGCTGTCACTCAGCTGGCAACACCAAGAGCTTCTCCAGCCATTTCAGCGCCCTCTTCCATCTCTCTTCCATCCCTTCACTAGTCAGGGCTGAGCTTCCCTACCCTTAGGCAAAGCAGCTGCTCTCTTCTCCAACCTATCTGCCTCCCACCCTAAGCCCGGGAAGGAATAAATTGTTTTCGGTGTATTAATCACCTGAAAGCAGATGGGAACTAATTGGAAGACCATTCTGAGCAGTGTTTGGCCAGGAGTGTTAAAGAATGGGTATATTACCCATGTTTTTCAAACTTCAGGAAATTGATTTAAAAGACACAGCTGACATTTAAAAAAAATAAAATCCAGCAGAAAACAGAAGATACCAGAGTGCACCGCATCATGACTCAACACACACATACATACATAGAACCATAAGAAAAGTTCCACAAAACAATGCTTTCCCTTTTTATAGTAGGTAAATATATAGGTGTGAGTCATGAATGTATGACTGAGGCCATGTAAATCTAGTTGGATCATAGGCTTTATGAAATATAGAAGAGGGAAAGGAAACAGGGGTGTTAGGTTGGGGGGGGGCAGATTATCAAATGCCCAGCATGTCAAACCAAATAATTGGGCTTTATTCTCTAAGCTATGGTAAACCACGAAAGTTTTAAGCAAGAATGGATGATCAAACAAATTTTTTAGAGCGTGGAGAAAGAACTGGAGAAGGAAGAGATTAAAAGTAGAGTGAAGTTAGGAGGCTATTAAAATAGTCCAAGAAAGACAGGGAATGAACCAGAATAACTGGGATGAAGATTTAAAAAGAGATTTAGAAAGTAGAAATGCCAGAACTTAGTGACTATGTGAAGACAGGAGATAAAGAACAGCATCAAAAATGCCCAGTTAAATGCAATGTAGTATCTTGGATTGTATCCTAGAACAGAAAAAGGACACTAGGGGGAAAATTGGTGAAATCTGAATAAAGGCTACAGCTTAGTTGATACAAATGTACCAACCAATGTTAATTTCTCAGTTTTGACAAATATAGCATGGTATGCAAGATGTTTATATTATGGGAAATTGAATGGGGTTATATGGAAACTCTGTTATCTTTGCAACTTTTCTGTAAAACAAAATTTATTCCAAAATAAAAAGTTTATGAAAAATAAATGATGCTTAGGTTTCTGACTTGGGTACCTGGGAGCCAGGTGGCTGTAATTCTTTAAGATGGAACACTATAGAAGAGGTTTGGAAGGGGGCAGATAGTTAAGGCTCAGTTTTAGACATGTTGAGTTTGATGTCCGCAAGGCTTGAGGGTGAGATATCCAGAAGCAAGTTGATCTGGAGCTCAGA